CACCCCTCTCAAACCTCTCTCTCTCTCTCTCTCTCTCTCTCTCTCTCTCTCTCTCTCTCTCTCTCTCTCTCTCTCTTGTGAGAACTTTGATTTTGAGATTGTCAGCGCCTTCTTCGCGTCATCTTTCTTGTTCATCGCGCTCTCTCCAACGTGTATATGTATATGTATATGCATATGTACATGATCACATGTGTCTCACTTTTCCTCTCTTTGTAGATCTCACTCTCCCCAAGTTCCGTCTCCTTTTTACTTTTGTTTTTCCACCACTTTGGAAGATAGAAATTAATGACACATTGGATCATTAATGATCCAGCTATTTATAACATGAAATGTGAATGTATTTCACCAAAAAAAAAAGTTTTTTTTTATACAAACGAAAACTCGATATACGTACGTATGAAATATCATATTTTTTTTTTCTGATTTTAAGGATCGTGTTTTTTTTATGTTAATTGTTATTTACGCCGTAAAAACTTGGACATTTGATTTGGTAAGTAATAACTATAGTCGGTTGGTTTTGGTTCAATCAAATGTGAACTATGCACTTTTTTTTAATCATTTATCATTTGATTATATATATATATATTGTCCGTGTTTTAGTGTTATTTGAACTATGTAAATAACCATGTTTCTTCATTTCATAAATTGATAATATAATAACAAAACCCCATTCAAATCATTTTGAATTTTTTAGAATGCAATACAATATATACAACCGCATTTAGATTAGTTATGGATATACACCCATATATAGTTTTATTTGATTAATATTTACATTACTTGGGGTCGTGCTTCCAATCTATATATAGATAATTTTAATTAGCTGTACGATACAAATTTGTACCAACTCATTCGAGTGTCCTCGTAAACCAAATCCCGATACCTTCGCACCCTTTCGCATTTTCTCTCGAATTAAACACTACGCAATCTTGAGAATAAGAAGACCATGTGTTCAAAGATGAATGGAAGTCGCACCCTGATTTTTTTTTAAATCTAATTAAAAAAAAAGTCGACCATTAGTCCTTTTTATTGAAAATCTATTGCATATCACATCTAAATTATACTCTAAACTAAATTATAAAAAAAAAAATCATACGTATTCATTGGATCTACTATTTGGTTTCAAACACAATTTTGCGTCAATATTTCAAGACAGTGGCAGAAATTGAATTGGAATACGTATAATAATATTACCCATGTTAATCAATTTCTAAATACATTGATGATATTTTGTTCTGAATTTTTCTGGAAAATTATGTGTATATATATATATTATTCATATATTTATTGCTTCCTTACACTCTTCTTTTGTTTGATACGCTCTGAACTTATTATTTTTTAATTCAACACGCCCTTGCCTCAACTCTTTTTTTTCTTTCTAATTTTCTCTAATATAGGTACCAATTTAATATATTTTTTTTAATTTGCTTCCCCTATATATCATTATATATTATTATTCGACATGGAGTAATTGAATATAGAATACACTATGACCCGAATTTGGGGTGCTATCATTTAGGATATGAAGAAATTTGTTAAGAATAATAGAAAATATTATATGTTATATTTCATTATTTTGAAATATATTATAATAAATTATGTATTTTGATCATCCGGTATATGTGCTTTCAACGGGGATTTTTTTTTTTTTTGGACCTGTCACTTGTTAAATGTGTTGTAGATCGAAGGTTATTGATTTAAGCTTCCCATAGTAATAAAACTATAGCGTGGCTTTTCAGAGACCGTAAATTGGCCGGACCATAAAATATACAAATTCGGTAACAAAATTTGTGATTTATTGGATATGAATATAATGGTACAGCTCGATCGGAAAGTACAGACGTACCAAATAAGAGATACAATGATTTGTCTGCACAATGTGTGTGTGTGTGTATATATATATATTAATAAACTCTATATAAAGGTTATACGGATTGAGTGCTATAAAATGAAATAGTTGCCTTATTTTACTATGAGGCTCGTCTTTCATTACACACACACACGCGCACGCAATATACACACATGTTTTGTATAATGCTATCTTATGTTAAGCACTGTACCATGCAATCCCATTATATAAGTACAAAACTTTTTGAATTGAGCAGTTCTTGGCATACATTATTCGCAAAACATCAGAACTATTATTTTTTGAATTGCCTACATGATTAAATTATGGTATATATGTATATGATGTATATATATATATTGTAGCTTATGAAGTAGGGATTCAATTTTATAATCAAGAACCCACAATTCAAAAGTAATGCGCTTTAAACAATGCCATCGAGTCATGTTTCATTGTTACTGATGACATAGTTTACCCACTTCCATGTGATGTATATATTTGTATCTACACACATGCGCATATATATATATACACACATATATTGAGATGTATATGAGTAGAGAGAGAGAGTGAATGTGTGGGGACCAAAGCACCGCCCAGATATGAAGCAAGTCTCTAGCACAAAAATACAAAAGCCCATCTCTTGTTCTTTGTCTCGGGACTACTTGCCCTAAACCTACCAATCAAAAGCAAAGGCACCAAAACCATTAAAGAAGAATAAATAAAACCCAGGAGCCCTTTTCACTTTCCAAATTTCACTTCCAACTCAATATCCTACAAATGTTATAGAGAGAGAGAGAAACCCTATATACAACTATAGGAGGAAGAAGAAGATGATGAAGAAGAAGAAGATCCAGCTTGGAATTTTCTTGTGAAACATTACTCTCCCCCTTCTATCTGTCATCAGAGCCCTTTGCGAATTCATAGAAAAAACACAACCATTCGTACAATTCTTCCTCTCCGATCTCATCCGTTCGCTTCTTCACTCCCTTTGTATACATATATATATATATATATATATCTGCATATCGAATTATATGTATATGTAGATATGGATCCGGTGCAATCTCATGGATCAAGCTCTCTTCCTCCTCCGTTCCACGCACGAGACTTCCAATTACATCTCCAACAGCAACAGCAACAGCAACAGCAACAGCAACAACAGCAACAGTTCTTCCTCCATCATCACCATCAGCAACAGCAGAGGAACTCCGACGACCACGAACAATCAGGATTAAGCCGCGGCATCAAGATCGACAACGAAGAGTCGAGCGATAACATGGACAACCTCGCCAACAGCAGCAGCGAGGGCAGAGAGGTCAATTTACACGGCGGAGGAGGAGAAAGCGGCAGCGGCGGCGGAGGCGGCGACCATATCACGAGAAGGCCGAGGGGAAGACCCGCCGGATCTAAGAACAAACCCAAACCGCCGATCATCATAACGCGCGACAGCGCAAACGCCCTGCGAACGCACGTCATGGAGATCGGTGATGGCTGCGACATCGTCGACAGCATGGCGACGTTCGCTCGACGCCGTCAACGCGGGGTCTGCGTTATGAGCGGTACTGGGAACGTTACCAACGTTACTATCCGTCAACCCGGTTCACCTCCCGGTTCGGTGGTAAGCCTCCATGGCCGGTTCGAGATCCTCTCCCTCTCTGGTTCGTTTCTACCTCCTCCGGCTCCTCCCGCAGCCACCGGTTTGAGCGTTTACCTCGCCGGAGGTCAAGGTCAGGTCGTCGGCGGCAGCGTCGTGGGACCGTTGGTTTGCGCGGGGCCAGTCGTGGTTATGGCTGCGTCGTTTAGCAACGCCGCGTACGAGAGGCTTCCGCTGGAGGAGGAGGAGATGCAGACGCCAGTTCACGGCGGTGGAGGAGGCGGCAGCGGTGGCGGTGTGATGGGGTCTCCGCCGATGATGGGGCAGCAATCGTCGAACCAGCAGGCGGGTTTGGCGGCTATGGCGGGGGGGCTGCCGCCTAATCTTCTTGGCTCGGTTCAGCTGCCGCCGCCACATGATCAGCCATACTGGGCCACCGGAAGACCACCTTTCTGATCGAATTTCGGTCTGTGGAATTATATATGTATACACACTCATGAGCGTGGCTATATATATGTCCTTATTTACAATACATTAAGAGGTTAATCACTTGATTATAGAGAGGGCTTAATTGAGATGATGGTGACGATGTGGAGAAGACGGATTGGCGATTTGAAGAATTCGAGCTTCACGGTATGATTATGGATCGACATTTTCGTAGATGAAACAGGTTCTTTTGTTTTTGCTTCGTTTAAGTTCGTAGATGAGCTTTTTTCTATGTTGAGTTGTGTAAGGTTTTAATTTCACTGTCTTTTAGGGTTTTTTTTATATGAATTTGATGGGTAGTTTCGTACATTTGAGATGGTGTTGTTCGATCTAAGGATCGCTGTTTTAAACAATTTCCCTTGTTACGTTGCGTTCTAGTTCCAATTCAATTCCTATGGTTTCTCTCGTTAGAGATTGAATGGTGCGTTTCCCGATTTAATCATATGTTATGTATATGGATACACGAGGATGTATAGATAATTAATTAACCTATGATTACAATACAATTCGCAGGAATGTTAACCAGATATATATATATATATATATATATAGGTTCGTCACTTGGAGATTTGTATATGAATAATGTAATACACGACCTAATTTATCCTTATTATCATGTTAACGATAGGCATTGTACGGTGTATAGATGCTATTATGTATCATTTTGATGCAAGCATATATATATATAGTATCTTAGAAACTTTCCGAAAATAGAAATGCTAAACTATTAGATGCCAATTATTGTTGGTGAAAGTTTTTTTTTTAAAAAATATATAGAGTAAAGATGGTTTTATGATGGAAATTAACCTTAACGAATGCATGTCTGGTACGATTGAATCTCAATGAGAAATCTTTATAGCGCATGATTACCTCATGTGATAATGTAAATCTATTTAGATAAATCATATATACAATATATTTACCATCGCATCTTTATACATTCTCGGTTATCATTTAAATTATCTATGTACGAGGATTCGTGTATAAACAAACAAGACACAACAAAGGTATACCGTAAAAATATACATGTCATCCTAAAACACAATGAGATGCATAATCTTATGGTGATTATGAAATTGCGTTTTAAGCTTTCCATAATTCCGCATTGATTATTATTCAATATATATACACTGGGCAAGTCCCAAGCCTAGTTGGTAACATGACAACCCCTCCTTACACAAGGTAAGATGTTCGATTCATCATATGTCAAGCTTCTTCTGAACCGGTCAGATTCGGCTGGTTTACCTTTTCGACATGGTTTGCCGGCTGTTGCGTTGGACCGTTGAGTTTATTGTCTGCGATATAGCGTGTCATTCGTCCGGCCTTATGAGGTGTGAGGCGTTGGGAAATCCGACCAGAAGGGTCGGGGGCGGGTTCCCATCGTTAATATATATATATATATATATATATATATATTCGTTTGTAAGGTGGATATGGTGAGTGAATTTGTGTGCATTTCTATACATGTAAAGCTAGTAACTACCGTTGGTGTATAGAGGGCTGACAATACAAACAGCGTGGGCTTTTTGTGCATGTTTACACACACACACACTCTTACATATGTATGTAGGTATATATGCGACTATGAACTTGTGCATTTACGCGATACCTTAACATTGGAAAAATATATACATACACATATTATATGCGCGCGTGTGTGTGTGTGGGGGGTATATATATGTATGGACAAGGAGACATTAGAGCTTGCTCAGCTACTGGTTCACACGTGCACTTGCTCTGAATACCATGCCCCGCTCGGGGGACACCCGTACATGTATATATATATGTATGTATATGCATTTTTATAGTTATGTAAAACAACATTTAGTGGATCGTAGTTTTGGTTGGAAAACGATAAAAGGGCAATGATTTGGCATATGACTAGCCCCCGCCGATGATGGGGCAGCAATCGTCGAACCAGCAGGCGGGTTTGGCGGCTATGGCGGGGGGGCTGCCGCCTAATCTTCTTGGCTCGGTTCAGCTGCCGCCGCCACATGATCAGCCATACTGGGCCACCGGAAGACCACCTTTCTGATCGAATTTCGGTCTGTGGAATTATATATGTATACACACTCATGAGCGTGGCTATATATATGTCCTTATTTACAATACATTAAGAGGTTAATCACTTGATTATAGAGAGGGCTTAATTGAGATGATGGTGACGATGTGGAGAAGACGGATTGGCGATTTGAAGAATTCGAGCTTCACGGTATGATTATGGATCGACATTTTCGTAGATGAAACAGGTTCTTTTGTTTTTGCTTCGTTTAAGTTCGTAGATGAGCTTTTTTCTATGTTGAGTTGTGTAAGGTTTTAATTTCACTGTCTTTTAGGGTTTTTTTTATATGAATTTGATGGGTAGTTTCGTACATTTGAGATGGTGTTGTTCGATCTAAGGATCGCTGTTTTAAACAATTTCCCTTGTTACGTTGCGTTCTAGTTCCAATTCAATTCCTATGGTTTCTCTCGTTAGAGATTGAATGGTGCGTTTCCCGATTTAATCATATGTTATGTATATGGATACACGAGGATGTATAGATAATTAATTAACCTATGATTACAATACAATTCGCAGGAATGTTAACCAGATATATATATATATATATATATATAGGTTCGTCACTTGGAGATTTGTATATGAATAATGTAATACACGACCTAATTTATCCTTATTATCATGTTAACGATAGGCATTGTACGGTGTATAGATGCTATTATGTATCATTTTGATGCAAGCATATATATATATAGTATCTTAGAAACTTTCCGAAAATAGAAATGCTAAACTATTAGATGCCAATTATTGTTGGTGAAAGTTTTTTTTTTAAAAAATATATAGAGTAAAGATGGTTTTATGATGGAAATTAACCTTAACGAATGCATGTCTGGTACGATTGAATCTCAATGAGAAATCTTTATAGCGCATGATTACCTCATGTGATAATGTAAATCTATTTAGATAAATCATATATACAATATATTTACCATCGCATCTTTATACATTCTCGGTTATCATTTAAATTATCTATGTACGAGGATTCGTGTATAAACAAACAAGACACAACAAAGGTATACCGTAAAAATATACATGTCATCCTAAAACACAATGAGATGCATAATCTTATGGTGATTATGAAATTGCGTTTTAAGCTTTCCATAATTCCGCATTGATTATTATTCAATATATATACACTGGGCAAGTCCCAAGCCTAGTTGGTAACATGACAACCCCTCCTTACACAAGGTAAGATGTTCGATTCATCATATGTCAAGCTTCTTCTGAACCGGTCAGATTCGGCTGGTTTACCTTTTCGACATGGTTTGCCGGCTGTTGCGTTGGACCGTTGAGTTTATTGTCTGCGATATAGCGTGTCATTCGTCCGGCCTTATGAGGTGTGAGGCGTTGGGAAATCCGACCAGAAGGGTCGGGGGCGGGTTCCCATCGTTAATATATATATATATATATATATATATATATTCGTTTGTAAGGTGGATATGGTGAGTGAATTTGTGTGCATTTCTATACATGTAAAGCTAGTAACTACCGTTGGTGTATAGAGGGCTGACAATACAAACAGCGTGGGCTTTTTGTGCATGTTTACACACACACACACTCTTACATATGTATGTAGGTATATATGCGACTATGAACTTGTGCATTTACGCGATACCTTAACATTGGAAAAATATATACATACACATATTATATGCGCGCGTGTGTGTGTGTGGGGGGTATATATATGTATGGACAAGGAGACATTAGAGCTTGCTCAGCTACTGGTTCACACGTGCACTTGCTCTGAATACCATGCCCCGCTCGGGGGACACCCGTACATGTATATATATATGTATGTATATGCATTTTTATAGTTATGTAAAACAACATTTAGTGGATCGTAGTTTTGGTTGGAAAACGATAAAAGGGCAATGATTTGGCATATGACTAGCAGGGAAATGAAACGTGTGAATCGATGCAAATGCTCATATATGTACATTTGTAATGAATCTAATGATGATCATGCAATAATAAACACATAGTTATATATGTGAATGGATGCATGTGTGTATGAATGCATATGGGAACAAAATATTTGCAAAAAATTTATTAGCAACAACCATATAAGACCGTTTCATGTCATAGTTAGTATATTTACGTTCAAAAGGCAACAAAGGGAATCAAAAGCGTCGAATGTGTTTGACATAAATTGATGGGCTTCAATGTTTGTGGGCCTTGTCGGTCCATACTGATTTTTCAAAACACGTCATCACCATACAAATATTGTCCATTTGTACGTTAAGCAGCGGAAGCATTCATTCATTATAAGCGAATGGGAAATTTGAAAAAAAAATCTCAAACAAATATATTGATATAAAATTTCCAATAAATATATGAACTCTTATTGACTTTTACATTAAATCCTTAATTGTTAGACGGTTTTTAATTTCATAGTGATTTTTTATAATATTTTAAAAGTTTAAAATTTCATTTCATTTTTAAAAAGTAAACTTAAAGTATAATATTAAGTGTATTTATTCAAGATTTTTTTCATATATAAATTCGTATATACATGAAAGCACCAATAATTAATGGTGCGGTTCCTTTGTTGGAATTGAAGCCCCAAAAGTTAAAAAGCCATGAACAAACCCTCCCCTTGAAGAGAGTCGGTATATACAACAGGCACTCGTAAGGTATAATAGTTCCAAGAATTTTAAGGAGTGAATCCAAGGAATAAAGCCACGACAAGCCAACATTTCACTTTACGACGGAACCAAACATCAAACTCAAATCACCCCCTGAAGTTTGTCCAAACGGACCAAATGCGAGGAAGAAAGGCAACCCAAATGCTTAAAAGAGATTCAGATCCTCTGAACTTTATCAGACTTGACCAATGGATTCGCCTTCGCGATAGCATCACGTCCAGCTTCTTTGAAGTCGAAGCTACACTCGTGCTTCTCAGGGTATCTGTGATCGCCACAGAACGTGCTACCGCATTTGCACTTGAACCCCATGACCCCGACCTTCTTATTACAGCTCGAGCACCGGTTGGACGGATGTCTTGGTGGCTCGTGCTTGTCAGCCGCACCAGGGGTGGCCGTCGGTTCAGTCCCATTGACGACTGCTGCTTCTGCAGAAGCTGGTACTGGTTTTGCAGGCTGTTCTGGCGTTAGGAGCGACGGCTTGAAGGATTTCTCGACGGCGGCTTTGGCAGCGGCCTTCTGGTCCTCCATGGCTCGGAGATCCCTGTAACATTTTGAGCAGAGGTTCATGTTGGATGGTGACCCGAAGAAGCCGCAGCCATTAGCGCAGAGCTTTGGCTCCGACGGTGGGAAGCTCGTACTGTTGTTTTGCTCAGAGCCCATCTTAGTTTGAAGTTCCTTTCTTCTAATTCTCGATCCTTCTGAACAAAGAACAGAAAAAAAAATCATCTTTTTTTGTACGACAAAATCTTTCAGATTGTTAGAAAACATCGGACTCGAGGGTTAAATCCCCCAAGGAAGGAATCGAAATGTTCATGATTGAATCTCGACCACCGAAATGATTCATCCGATCACGGCTATCTGCAGAAGCTCATACAAATTCATACCCTTTCACATCACAAAAAAAGGAAGCACAAAAAAAAAATCTAGAGAAATTCAATTCACACACCGAATCCTAAGATTCTTTTCTGCCTCGGATGCGATGTGAAATGTTCGTGAAATCTAAGTGGGAAAGAGAACCCAATACTAATAAACATTCCAGGAATTTCCCTGTTTTCTCCGGCGAAATCCACGATATTATAATGGTGGTTCGATCAACAAACAGTGTTAAACATAAAATTTGAAGTCCCATTCATCAAAGAAGCCAAAGACGCAAGGCGAATTAGATTCACCTGTCGGCTCCGTTCAAGGAGACTTTCCTCCAGAACCAAAGCTTCTCGCGATTTCCCGAAGAACTTGCCGAAAATTTAATGAGTTTCTTCGCCTCCTGAAGAAGAGCAACGAGAATTCTTCGTCGGAATTTAGGTATTTTTTCTCGATTAAATCGGAACAAAACCCTAGTTTCAGAGAGAGAGGATGCCTGCTGATACAGGTGTATGTATATAATGTGTATGACGCAAGGCTTCCATTTTTCTTAATCAGTAAGACGGAGAAAGGTAGGCAGGTGTTGATGGATGATCCCTAGCCGTCCGATGCTTAGTGCCGACGTTGCTTGACGTCACTATCTAATGATCGAACGGTAAACAGAAGAACGGTACCAGGCGTAATACTTCGTAACTTTGGAGGCGTGTTATAAGTCGGCATTTTCTTTTTCCTTGTCCGTTTTTTACATTTTTTTTGGGCATACATAATTATTTACTTTTCTTTCATCTTAAAAAAAGTAATTTCCATTGTCGTTTTTTTTTTCAAGATTGTGACCATTGGCATAAATTAATATTATAATTTTTTTTTCTGTAAACAATGCGGTTAAGACAAATGAAGATGATTGGTTGGTTTGGTTATGCAATAATGGAGGAGGCATTATTGGTGGAAACTATGAGAATATAAAATATGCTCCTTCTACCTTACCTAGCCTACCATTTTTTTTTTATGTGAAAACAAATAAAAACCCGAAAAATAATATAAAGCCAAATGGTAAAAAGTAAGGGGGGGGGGTAATATTTACATGCTCTAAATATGTTAAAATTAATCTTTATTATTTAAATTAACATTATATATATAAATACTTTACAATAAAATTAATTATTTATACACGTATAATTACAATAAAATCAAACTATGTGATCTATTTTTCTATCCTATTATTAAAAATTCCGATAATAAATATTAGTATGCGCTTATTATACTTTATTATATTAGAGACCACACTATCCAAACATTATATTAACCATAATTTTACCAAAATCCGAAATCCACCAAATCCTACGACCTTGTGAATAAGCCATACGTCAAAAACGCATATTCACTTGCATAAAAAGTAAATGTCTAACGCAATAATGGAAAAATGAAATAATAACAATAATATATGTCAATGGAAGTCGCATAGGAAACCACTGTCCATAATGCTAGAGATAATTCTTAGTCCAACCGATTTGGTCGAATAGAAATTTTCATTCGAGGGCCCAAAAGAAACATAGAAACATCAAATATGGTTTTATTCAATAGTTGATGACGATGATGATGGGCACATAGACATGCATATATGCACATATATCATCATCATCATGATCATCATCATAACCATTGAGACCCTTAGATTTTGCGTCAAATGAAGCATCATTAGAACCCCATATAATTGATTTGCCCACCTTCCCACCCCAAATGGTCCCAAACCCCAACACTAGAAGTTGCAAAAAGAAAGTGACTCGAAGCATTTTAATTCACATACATAGAAAGAACAATGGATTGCATGCTGCTTTCACTTTCTAACATCAGACGTCTTGCTGTTTTCATGCCAAGTGAAACTGTTCTTATCAGTAACTTACAACTCTATACCCCACAGGAATGCAACAGGATCATTCATCATCCTTTAAATAGATGAGCACGTGCATCTCAGGTTCTACTCAAAACACAAATCTATCTTGACATCCGATCAATCCTGTAAGGGTTAAATCCTCAAGCCATTGAGTTTTGATCCGACAATATGCTGAATCTGATAGTGTAGACATCCGTCGAATGTATGATGTAAAGTTTGAAGCTTTTATCTTTGAGATAACATACCTTCCATCTCATTGGATGTCTCTGGAGAGCCCATCAACATGTGCATAGCCTCCCCATAGCTTCCCCGTGCAATATTCAGTCCAAACTGCCATTATTACCACTTCCCATTCCATCCCAAACCGATCTGGATAACATCAAAATATGTATATAAATGCGGCAGTAAGGGATTCATGCTACAGATATCAGCAATCTCTACCAAAGATTGCACCTTTACTTCACCCGCTTAGAGTCAAGGTGAGAAGAGCAGAAAAACATGTGCCCAAATGTTCAAGACTATACCCCAACTCATCCTACCTTTGCTTGCAATGGAAAGTCTCGGTTGAAAAGACCAAGACTTCAGGTTTATAGGCTGTCCAGGTATATCTCGTAACTCTACACATACGTACGAGTTTAGCAACGCCCATAAATGTATGCAACTGTTGCTATATTTGTACATGCTTTTGCAGGAGAAGATGTGCAGAAAAAGAAGTAGAAGACATGGAACTTAAAAACCTGAAGCTGTATCTGAAGAACAAAGGTATCATGGAAGAGAACGCAAAGTTAAGGAAAAGAGCTAACCTTCTCTACCTAGAGAATTTAGGGTTGATGTCTGAGATGAAGAAAAAGCTTCTGCATTCAGGTTCAGGCCATGTGTCTACACTCTTGAACTCCCCTTTGGAGCCAATGGCAGAAAAAATCTTGCACTAAGCAAAAAAAAAAAAAAAAGAAGCAAAGCTCTGTCTTTTTCTTTGGTTAGCTGAATCTTTACCCCAACCGCAAATAGAGTTTCGAGAAGGTGATGGATCTTCTGTAATCATCCCAAGTCAATGGAAATGACTGATAAATACCAACACCAGATCTTCTCAAGAAAATACACTATGGTTATACACTATAGTTACACAAGAAAATACACTATGGTTATACATACGTTGCTCACGCTCGAGAGCTACGGGAAAGAAACACATTTTTGAGCAATTCTATAGAAAATACTAACACCAGATCTTCTCAGTAGTTATACAGAGACAAACCGCTTTTCTCATTAAAGTCCAGTTGCTTCTCTTGCCAACTGAGAAACTCAAAGCTGCAATCCGAATCCTGCATTTGCAATAAGCAAATGACAGGTAAACACTTGGAACAGCAGTCTCATGTTTTTTTTACTTATTCATACTAAGAAGAGTAGTTTTTTTTTTTTACCCCCATTCATACTAAGTAAAGAACCAAATTTCCGTTCCCGAGCAAAGGCATACGAGTCTCATGGTTTCTCGGTGACTTCAGTGGTTGATTTGTTGATGCGAAAGGCAGCAATGCACATTGTCATGTTACCTATCACAGTTAGTGCTGCCTGAAGCGCCACCAGCACCTATATAGCTCACCATTTCAAAATTTTATCTATCACGGGTAATAAACATCAAAATGATAAATACGCAAAAAAGAAGGCAAGATTTTTTTATTTTTCTGCGCCAACCGAGTTCTTCCATTTTTAGAAGGAAACTTATATGATACCGCGAAATACAAATATGTCCTAACATAGGGAAGAGATCAGAAGTTTTACCTCAAGAGATTCAGCATTGTAAAAGAAATGCCAAGTGCAAGCACAAAGAGCGCCACCAAGAAGAGGTACCTGAATAAGATAATCCCTTTATATAACATTCTCTTCTTCTAGATAGAACTAGAAGTTGTAAAAACGGGAGACAAAGGCTTCCCAAGAAATCAAACATGCTTAAAAACATATATCAGAGTACCATAGAAACAGCTCACCATCCCCCATGAGAGACCTTTCCACGCCTCGTAGCCCTTTCTTTCCCCATATCTCCACACCAAAACCATAGCAGTAGCCCTGCACAAGAATTTAAATATCAATACAAACATCAGAGGAACAGCACCAGCAGACAGAGTAGTTACACTTTCTTGTTTGTTAGATCTATCTACCGTTGATCTCAATCCAGGAACCTAACTCAAGGACCACTAAGCCAAACACATTTTCCCTTTTCATGAACACGTATGCATTGGTTAATATGAAATTCTCAACCTTTGACCAAAGCTTACCGTGTGAGGAACAGAAAAAGAAAAGCTTTCAGGCGAAACCCAGAAGCCCAGACGGCTCTAGCATCACAATAGATGAAATGGACGCAATTTCAACAAAGAACTCTCCATGGATTCTTCTATTTCTAATTAAAATCACCAAAGACATCATGAGAAAAGGAAAGGGATGGATCAAACCATTCGACAACACTGGAAACATGTACGGCCCAGGTGGGGAGAGACAAAGCATTTGCCGGTTCGCTTAGCTGAAGTGAACCCACCACCGGAAAATCCGTCGCCGCCGCAGCAGAAGCTGGCTCCGCGGCGAGGAACACGGCGGCGACCAGTCCGGTACCGAGAAGACCCGACAGCGCAATCGGGTCATGGATTATGCTCTGACTCAGGATTCGATGTACGGGTCGGCTCGGGGAAATGGCTGCTGAAGAAGACTGGTACGATGAACAGGCCCGGAACGGAATTCGCAGGCGAATGGGTTCTGCGGAGCAGAAAAGAAGAGTGGCTGTGGTGGTGATCGCCATGGCTAAGGTTTCCCAAAGTTCTTCTCGGTTTACGTAAACCGGATTTCGTGATGAGCTACCTTTATGTTCCTCTAGAAAATTACCAAAAAAATTACATTTTTCCGAAACAAAACAATCCATTTGAACAAAAAAATCAAAGAAAGAAACTTTTTTTTAGGGCAAAGACAAGGTAAGAAGCAGGAAGATATCAATCATATGTTTTGGTTCTTACAAATTTGCTTTGATTATTCCATCAAAGAAAAAGGAAAAAAGAATAAATGGAATACGGAATTATTGGTCTAAATCCTAAACCATACATCAAAGAAAAGCGAAATGCTAATAGATAATATTTCCTGCGGAGACATCTACATAAATATCCACTGCTGA